CCGCGGAGAGGCTGCGGCCGGGCCGAATCCACCCTGCAAAACCCCCGGGACACTCGCGCGCCTCCCGGGACGACCGCAGCAGTGCTGCCCGACTGTGGGAGGCGTGTGCCCCGGGACCTGAGCGTGTCCCCCGAACAGACAATGTACTGCTGCATACTTGGGCTGGGTGAACTTGCTATTTAAATTTTATTGTCCAGCTAAATTAAATCAGGTGGCAGAACGGTAGAGTTTATATCTAAGTAAGAGAAACATAATGTGTAAAAACCCCACTGAAAAACAGCAGGGCAAAACAGAAGAGTGACCGACTTGTGAAAGGTGTGACTTTATTTTACACAACGACTTTGCTTGTTTTCTTCTTTTAAGCAGGCAGAAGTCTTACATGACTCAGATATATCAGTAGTGCTAATAGTCACTGTAAAATTACAAGGGCAATAGCCTATTCTAGTTTTATTATGTGATTTTTGCACATCACATGCAGGAGTTTCCTGCAGTGGTGGGAGCCCCTTGTCTGCCACAAAACATAAGAGCAGTCAGAAGGGAATGGCTGATGCCAAACTACTGCTTTGCAGTCAGACTGCCCTCGATAAAATACCACACATCATAAAAACAGCAGTTTACAAAAATACAAAGTAACTGTAAATCAGTTTATACAATGCAACTGCTATGATACATTTTAAGGATTTAAATGTGAACATTTTTTAGCTTCTAACACAAGAGAATAAACCACATAGAGATCCATGACTGCACTTCGTATTTAGTTTGAAGTTCTTGAGGGTGTATTTGCTTTCTTTGGAGAAGGTCTAAGAACTCTTTGATACTGCATTTCAATGCACATCTTAAACCTTAACTGGAAGGTAAGTCCATCACGGGGAACTGTTTTCACTTTGCACGGGTAGAGGCTATTGATTTCATCCACTATTTATATAAAATACAGTCGTTACGAGAAGCTTAGTGGTTGTCACTTGTGCTGTAGTTGCTATACATTATGCACTGTTCACTGAAATAAATTGCATGCAATGACAACATACACCTAGAAAATATGCATTTGAGAGAAGGATCTGTTATGTCAATTACTCTACCATTGAGCATGGATTCTACCTGAAAATGGTTTTTGTTTTATCCAGACTTCTTTAAAATGCCTTACAGATTAAACTAGGTAGATGTGCATTTTGGCACAAAACAGAATGTAAGCTGCTGTGAAGTGTTGCATGTCCTCAACTACCTGTACTTTACATAGTTTCTCTCTCCAACAGATTGGGAAACAGAATGCCATTTGATGGAGCCAGTGAACCTGATCATGTCCGTGGGTCATTAAAGTCAGAATCAGACATTTTGCAGAACACGCTACCTGAAAATGAGAAATTCTATTTTGATCTGTCCAGAATTATTGATAGGTGAGTTTCTTTATTATCATAAATACAAATAATGATGGACTACTTGATCTATGCCAAAAGATCAGTCACATTTTCAGCCTGAGAAACAAGAAAGAAAGAATCAATTACAGAAGGAAAACACACAGCCGCTGGTTGAATACTGGTAGCAGTAGGGATGTCGGCAGAAGCATTGATTGCATTGCCATTCTGGCATGACGAATGCATTCACTTTCCAGGAAAGGCTAAAAAGTATATTGTGAAAATCGGGAGGTCATTTTATGGAATTAGTTTTATTTAATATGTACAACAGATAGCTTAAGGAAAGCAGCATGCTTACAAGATGAATGTTATAAAAATATGAACCCAGGTTGTATTGTAGAGTTTATTTATTGTCCATTTCAGAAATGCAAGGCATGCTGATGGAATTTTCACCAGTGTCTACAGCCATCTTTTGGCTAAACTTGCTGTGAAGAGATATCTGCATTCGCTTATTAGAAAACGAGTTAGGTGAGGTGACACATTAGGTAGATTTTTTTTTCCTAGCTGGCTTCATTGGCAAATTTTAACCGTTCTGTACCTAAGTTCTCCCTTTTGTGATTTAGAGATAATGAAAGAGATGCTGATATAATTATGGGGAGCTGAAAATCCTATGTAACAATTTAGTGATATTTGTTACTAAATGAGTACGTTACTATTTATTCCCGATACAGCTGTGAGGGGTAGAGCAACAGACACTACACAAAGCACGGATAATATATACTGGCAATATTGTAATGATTATCATGCCGATTTGCTAATTCTTTTTCCCTGGTAGTGTTTTTACTAGCTTGGTGGATGAATGGCAAAAGTAAATACAAAATGATTGATTACTCAGTACTTGCATAACAACAGTGTGAAATTAAAAACCAATTGGTTTATAGTGAAAATGAGAGGAAATTTTTTTTCCTAGTGTTGAACATATTGCCAGATGTTTCTGAGATCTGTGTTATAGCAGGATTCAAAAAAAGAATGAAGCAAATTCATAGACAAGGGATCTGTATGCAACTTCCAGACCAGGACATTCATAAACTAATGGTTGCAGGGTGCTGGGAAGGATCACTGTGTATTTTCCTTGTTTTCATATCCCTAAGCAGCAGCTCCTTGGCACTTTTGGGAACAGAGTAATAGAATACTTTGGTCTGATCTGCTGTGACAGTTCCACTGACTGCCTACTTCATATGCTCAAAAGCTGAGTTCAAATTAAGGCCTCCATTTATGTCAATTCTACCTTTGTTCCAGAACATATCGTTCCAGTTTCTCATATGCTAGAAACTAACAGATCATTTAGAACACACTGAGGCTTCCCAAGATTGTACATGAGAAATAGGCCTCCAGGTTTGGATTTCACAAGGTGTGTTCTGTTTCCTGAAACCTCCTTAGAGAACAAGCTTTTGTTGCTCTGTATGTGATGTTACATTCTTACTTTCTGCAGAAGGAGGCTCTGTCCTTGCTGAGTTTTATATGAACAGTGCCAAGGTCCTTTAAGAACTTGCTGTAACTTAAACCAGGCTGCACCTCAACATCGTACTAAAATATACTTATGCAAGTGATAGAAATCAGAATAAAATCTGTTTATTAAAAAGAATGACCAGGGTTATGAGAACAGACAGGAGGGAGTCATGAAATCCATGCTCAACCACTTGATCTTGCAGAATTCCTGGTACAGGGACTCTAGAGATCATTGAGTATGGATCCTAATTGCATGAGCTACAGCAAAGTTGAGTAGGAGAAAGAAATAAGTGAAAGGCATGCCCAAAAAGACTGAATACCAGTCTTTGGCATTTAATCCTTTTTGCTGAAATACATAAGAAGCAATAGAAGCAGTGGCTTCTTTTGAATAGAAGTAAGACTCAAAGTCATACTTGGAAATGAAAGCTGAAATAAAAATTTGATTTTATTTAGCTGATTTTATTTAGCTAATCAACATTGTAAAGCTTGTTTCACTAATTTAATAATATCTTCTTTGAAACAGATATTGTCTATTAATTTTTTCTTTGTAATTGTTGCATTGCCAGCTCCCAGGACAGTCCTGTCAAACGCCACTCTGATGCTGTCTTCACTGACAACTACAGCCGCTTTCGGAAGCAGATGGCTGTGAAGAAGTACTTAAACTCAGTTTTAACTGGAAAAAGAAGGTACTACAAGAAAGCAAATATATATTGTTTCCATACTTTTATGGTATTAAGGCAGAAGAGACTTATATCTATGTATGCATACAGAGCGAACAAATGCAATGAACATTATTACTTTATAGCATAGTTTATAACATGGTTTTCAAATACAGAAAGCATTTACTTCCTGACTGAAACTGCAATCAGATTAAAGAATAAGGAGGAGAAGGCATCTGGCAATTTAAAAAAGCTTCTGACAGATTCTTAAAATGTTTTTATTTATAAGATAGCTTCTCAAGGAAAAAATCCACAGAGCTATGGAACATGAGCAACAATTTTATAAAGAAAATGCACTATTTATTCAAAATTTGCCTCTAAGTAAATACATGAAATGAAAATTTAGATGTTCCTGAAAAACCATTATGTCCTAATCTATGTAGGTGAGAAGTGCCAGCATAAGTTTTTGTAGACCTTGTATTCTGTTTGTATATTCATTCATTTAGACAACTGCTTTTAAGTAACACGTCTCTTCATTCATTAAGCATTCTGTTTCACAGGATTTAGAACACTTTGGTATAAGTGTAACAAAATGTGCAGAAGCTACGGTTAAAAGGCAGCTTTACCTTGTTTGCTTTTTCTTCTGAGAGCAATAAAACTTGTTTCTGATCCATAACAGCCAGGAAGAGCTAAACCCTGCTAAACTTCGAGATGAAGCAGAACTTCTTGAACCTTCCTTTTCAGAAAACTATGATTCTGTAGATGAACTGCTGAGCCACGCCCCACTGGTATGCCCAGATTTTCTTTCTCTTGCTACCTTTTACTTGACTTTACCCATAAAATGAGATTAATTGTACGTGGAGTGTGGCCTATCAGAAAACTGGAATTATCTAGGAAAGAGAGCCATGAAACACTGTATATTTCTATAGAGATTGTGTCTGAATATAATAATAATTTTAATAACAAGATTTAAGTAATCCCATGATTGCTGTTATTGAAAATTCCTAATTAAATGGCACTGTTAATAATGCACCTAACTCACTTGGGTGTTTCAGCCAGTGTGCACTGCAGCATAAAACCAGAACTGACTCATTTTTAATTACAAAGATTATTATTTCTTCAGAGAACAAACTTCAGGATATTTCTTTTAATCAAAAATAAAATGCAGCACATTTTGTTTAACATCTATTTCATTAGAAGGGAGTTGCCCCTATAACTAAGAGAATCAGCAACATGAACCTTATGCATTAAGAAAGCACTTGACTCCTACCTAAGGTTTGCTGCAGAGGGATCATCTGACATGCAAATATTGCAGTTACTGTTTTCCATTTAGCTATTAGTATTTTTTCTAAATGTATCCACAATTACCTTTCCTTGGTTAACTGGTACGTAAACCCTTCTATATCACTATTTGCTGGGACATAACATTGAAAGGGTAACATAAAAGTGAATTGGGCTTGGTATTCTCAAATGTGTATTAGGAAATGGATGATAGGATGGGTTTTTGCATTCAGCTGTATCTCAGCTATAAGTAAGAGAAAGGTTAAAAGGTTACTCTTGAAGGCAAATTTTTTTGAGGGGGAGCAGGAGGGGGGTATGGAGGTGTGCAGATGATACAAGACATTTCTCCAAACGTTGTTTCCCTTCAAGACTGAAAGAAAATGAGAAAATATTATTTTCCTTTCCTCTAAAGTTCCCAAAGACTATAAAGGACATAAACTGGTTATGCCTCAAGGAATGAAATAATTCATAGGTGATGGGATTCTGGAAATAAATGCTGTTTCTAGACAAGATTCTTACAAAAAAAATCTGTTCCTGAATTTTACACCTAAAACTTCTGGCATTGATTAAGTGAGAGAGAGTATTGGTGCACTAGGTCACGGGTGTCTTCCTGGAAAGATTTTCAGTCCTTTCCTTTTATAGGAACTGTACTGATGAGGTGGATCTGCCTGTAGGTGAATTAGTATTGACTGTTACTTGTCATGTTACTGCAGTGCCCAGTTGCTAATGTAGTGTGGAGCAAGCAACCTGAATTCATCTATCCCTTTCAAGGATACGGTTTTCTTCAAAGTGAGCAGTACTGCAGTGTCTGCAGTATCTGCAGTAACGTTTTTGCCTAGTCTCTCAACCTTTCTTCCTCATCCTACAGCCTTGTCTGCTGACTGTCATGCCCACCAAACTCCTGTGAACAGCCACATCTCAGTTTGTCAGTCCCAAGCGCAGCAGTTGTTTTATATCAACTGTTACTTATTGTCTGCTGTCTGCCCTTATACACCTCATGATGCAACTGCCTACAAAAATGACTTTTAAAACATATTTTTCCTTTGCTTTTCAGGGCCTTTGAAGGACACCTGGTAAAGTCTATGACAAGAACAAGCTATTTTTGAGTTCCACATAGTATTTCAAAGAGATGACTTTAGTCATCAAACCAGAACAAATATGTTGTGAAGTGAAAGTTGTGATATATTTGTTTCTTATGTAATAAAAGTTGATATTTACATTGTAAATATTACTCTAGAGTTCTCTACTGAAAGCTGTACATATGGATGCCAGTTTAACTCATGCAAAGTCTGTGAGCCCATATGCTGTAAATCCTTTACTTCAATAAATTCATTTGAAAATGAGTGTGCAGCTGAAAAGAGCCCATCCTGACTAATTAATTGGCTTATTTTAGGTGTGATACACCTTCAGACAAACATGTTTGATAGTAGAGATACATTTCCAGTTAGCTTCATAAACAACATGCAAAAATGTGAGGAAAAATGTGCAAAGTGTGTATAACTGATTTACAAAGAACTCTGAAGGGTATTCCCAAGAAAAAGAGAATGCTTTTCTAGAAGCTTACCAACAACTAGAGAAAATGAAAAAGCATTAAAAAGTGACCTCCAGCAGCAGGTTTATGCTCTGTGGTATTCGAAAGACAAACAAATAAGCCTCCAGTCCCCATTTCTGTAGCTTTCCATAATTGTAGATGAGTATGGAACTGGAAATTTCCTGTTGTTTAATTCATAACACTGTTGCTAGATTTAACCAACTGGATCATTTTCTAAAGAATGATCTGCTGTTGTAAGGGCTGATAGTTCCATTGCAATAAGGAAAGTGTGCAGCACTGCTTGCACAACATGCATATTCTTGCATGATAGCAGCCATAACACTCCCATTACTCCCTTCTCACCTCCTAGAAAAAGATGAAATTTGATGCAGAAAAACTTATCAGACCTACTTACAAGTTCAATTCGGAATTTCAAATATATTTATAAATCATACATATGCACACACAGACAGTGATAAAACTGATTTGCAAGTTTCACTTACAAGTTTAGTGTTCTGATTTAGAATGAAACTTCTAACATGATAAAATTTGAGATTTATGGAGACTAGATCTCATAAATATGTAGCCTTCTGATTTGCATTTTTTTTAATATTGACAACTGCATGTCAAAAACAGCTGAGAGGAGTTAATTGTGGAAGATGTACCATGTTCACCTCAACAACATGGACAAGTGGTCATGGTAAGGTTAAAGGATAAAGTTGAGGAGAAAATTGCAACATTTCACTGAATGAGACAAATTTTCTGCCTGTCAGTGAGCCTTGACACATGTCACCAATCTTACAGCCCATCTGCAAGATGTCATATGAGTGGAATCAAAGCATTGCATTAAATAGGAGAATGAAATGGGCAGCCACAAAGGGAGCATCAGGAGGACTGCTGGGAGGGAAATACATAACTAGGAAATTTAAAAGAGCATCACTGTCAGACAGAATGCAACCACTGGATAAGAAGGAATCAAACTGTGAAGTGATAAAACTGTGAAAAATTATTGGGGTATATGTTAAAGAAACATCTCACCATGTTAAAGAAACATCTCACGCGCTCAAGAACAACCCTCAGGATTGTGTATAAAACTGTGAGAATTACAAAAGCTGACAAAACAACTTTAAATTACAGCCAGTAAAAGCGCATTAAAAATGAATTAAACTCTAAATGAGTTTGAGGGACTATGAGTGTTCCACCTGAAAGTCTGACAAAATTTCTGTTTAGAAATATGAAAATGAGTAGCTTTCCAAAGCATAGGTGTAACTTATTGTATGGGCATATTGAATTCTCCTCAGAGACAGACCTTTTGGGAAGAGATGTATGTGTACAGGAATAATTTATTTGCTTGCAAGGTGTTCAGGGAAGAGAGATGAATATGGCTGTCCACTGCTTCTTGTGATACTGCCTATACTTTCCACTACCTTTTTTATTTTTCCTTATTTTCTCTCTCTCTGCTTCACTTACCACAAGGTTTCCCACTCTTTAATAATCTCACCGTTGCCTTGCAAAGCTAGTGTATGAATGTATACCTATGCTTTTGAGAGGAAAAATTACAGCAGACCTTAAATTTTTAGTGCAGCAATGCAGAAACTGCCAGTCCTCAATGACAGAGATGAGTATTGCAGAGAACCTGGCACAACCAGATTTGCAGGAGCAACCTGTCCTGCTCACAAACAGCCCCTGATTTCCCACTGGAGATTTACCATTTGCTGTGTGACTGGCACAGAAGGCTGACCTTTCCTTGGATACATCAAACAGAACTTCTATCCTCTCGGGGCTTGTGCTGGCTTGGGCAGCTACAGTATTTTCTGCTTTTCTCCTTTCTGCACTGGAACAGTCACAGACAAATTACTTGCTAGGTTGCCAAGCTGCTTTAGAACTGGAGGTAGGAAACTAGACACTCATCTTTTACATCAATCTTATAAAAAGTCCAGAGAATATTTTGATGCATCTTCTGCTTTTGAAGCAAACAAACAGGAAAAGTTTTATTTCAGTTTGGTACACAGATACATACAGCCCACTTACTAGGGAGGGTAAAAACTTTCATTGTGAGGATAAGTATTTTCAATAACTTAGTCGATTAACATTTGTAAATAAAAATATAACTGCGTATTCAAAGATTAAACTGTACATGACATCAATCATAGTGATACAGTGAAAAAGAAAAATATCTAAATATCAACATTATCATGGTGAGAACAATATTTTCAGTGGAGCAGGTTTTGGGAAAGAATGGGGATTGTTTCAATAATGAGATGATAAAAGGACAAAAATCATCTTGTTCTTGCCCACCGAGTGAATTATTTAGTGCTAGATAGAGTTTTGCATTAGCTAACATGTTTAAAAGAGTGTACATGAAGAGGGTCAATAAGATCCATTTTCTGGATCTTTTTCTGGAACTGGTGTGGACATTTAGAAGCCCTACTTCACATTTCATAACAGCTAACAGCCAGAGTTGTTTCTAAACATGGGACATAAATGCTTTCAATATGTAGATCCAATTACTTACTAGTTGTCTAGTAAGAATTGGCCCCTATCCAACACATATCCTAATTTTCTGAATGGAGGGAAAGCAGAAGAGAAGCTGGAAACAGTCACTGTCTCCTGTTGTTACATAAGATGTATCAGTGAAGACCCTTCTACTTTGGAAATGTATGCAAAGCAGCAATTTTTATCAGTAGCTTCTGAAATAGCCAAGCTATTGACAGGTTAGAGCAAAGACAGAATGATCTCTAGTTTTGCCTGTAAAATTACCTGACAGTGTTGCCAATTGGCCAAATGGTAGGAGGTGCTATGTCTTCACACATCAGCTTTATGATAGAGAAGAATTCATTTATATGGAGCCTGGGTGGCTCCTAGCTGTTTGCTTATTTTATATACTACTGAAAAGCTTTTTACTGAAAGTGATCACAAGTATCTTTGACAGATTCCTTATCACAATTTGTTGTTATTCTAAGACAGCTCTTGATCTTTGTCTTTCAGCCAATCCCTCTTCCCATAATCACAGCCAGAACATCTGCACATTGTTTTAAGCAAGCAATTTTGCCTCATATTAAGGAGTATAGAAAGCAAACAGCTGCATTCTGGGAAGACTCTTCATGAAAAGGCAAAGGAAAGGCAGAAAGACTGAGTCTTGGTTAAAAAGTAAAAAAAAATTTTGAAAAAATCTAGATTTGGTGCTGATAGTTTCAGTCCCATCTGGTGATTCCTTCCAGAGCAATGCATTGTGTTTGGTATTCCAAAGCTGGTGCCAGAGCTCTGGTCTTGAGAAGTGAAGCATGTAGTAAGAAAGAAGAAACTGGTAAATCTTGAGGTAGAGCAGGTAAAGACTGTGTCTTTGGAAAAGTAACTGGCGTTAAACCTCATTTATATATGGCCTTTTGTTCTCTGTGGATTTAAAACTCTTGCTTTGAGAAGAAATAAGGAGTCATCTCTTGCTGTCAGAGGACCTCACATCATGCAAGTTCATTCATTAACCTAGCAAGCTCCCTCAGGGACACAGCTGTGTTGTTTGTTTCCTAATCCTGCTGCTGCACAGATCTAGTGGCTATACCTGTTGGGAACCTCCTTTTAACTGGCAGCCTAAATGTTTGACAGACACCTTGCCAGCCATTTGTTTCCATACTAATCTCCTCATTTTAAGAGTACAATTACTCTTCTCAGGAACCTGTATTTGTAGGTGTATTTATATACTAAATTTCCCTCCCAGGCCTGCTTTGTTAGGCTAAAGAAATAGTCTGTCTTGTCTCACCTCATAAATGACTCTCCATTTCCAAGACTGTGGTGGATCCCCATGCCCAATGGGCTCACGTTCCAGAGCAAGTTTAATACTCCTAAATTACAGTTTATCAGATGTAGTTTCACCTTCGAAATTAGTAAATGCATCTGAAAGTCTCTTCTTTATTAAGAATTGCAGACATTACATTTCTGTAATGTAGTAGTGATTTGAAGGGCCTCCATCTTCAAGGTCTTGAAAGAGCTGATTTTTCAGTCAGGCTAATTTTATTTTTTATTTCTTCTCAATCATTTCTGAGTTTTCAAAAGCTGAGGAAACAGAACCACCAAGCACTTGGTATACGATACTTTTTTGTGGTAGGTGGAGGGGGAGCCACTCAATCCGGTCTAAAATGCATGTAAAGCAAAAGTGGATTCTGAAACAGGCAAATACCCAGGTTATTAGGTAGTTTCACCTAGATCCCTGCAACCTTTTTACGTGGCTGTATTTTTTATATGGCCTGTATTTTTAAATCCAACTTCCTTAGTCCTGCAGCCAAGGAAGATGACAAATGCAGCCCTCATTTTGCCCTTGCATCATCTGCGATACTGGACAGAAGGGTGATACCAGCACAGCCCAGTTTCTCTGCTGATTTTTGCCAGGGGAAATGGAGGTCAGTTCACAGCGAAGCCCTAGCATGCCATCGAGGAGATTAGGATAAAGAGAGCTATATGTTCTCTGACTTGCTCCGTGAGTAATAAATGGTCTAGGTTACACACTGGCCTGTCACCACCATTAATTCTTCAAAAGAAAGAAGGAAGAGAACCATGCAAATACTCATTTGTGTATTTATGTCGTGTATATTAAAATATTATGCTGAACTGTAGTGCCAGTGACGATGAGGGACAGAGGGTCTCCTTTCATCCATAGCTAAAGGATTACAACAGGGATTACCTTCTGAATCATTAGTCTACTGCTGTGCAGGAATAAAGAAATCCAGCTGAGTGGACTACTTGGGTCCTGGCTCTTTGATTTATGATTCATTCTCTGTTCAGTACAGGTGAGAATACAAGTGCTTAATG